AAGAGGAAGTCACTCAGCTGTGCACTGGCCCTGATTCTGGCAGGGCTCCACAACTGCCGTTTGTCCTCTGGCAGGCATTCCTGCCAGGCTCCACTGGGAGAGGCACTTGATAAAGACCTGGAAGCAGGAGGAGATGGGGGAAGAAACTTGCTCCTTAGGCTTCTGTCACTGTCACCTTAACAAGGACCTGTACCCAGCAGTGTAGTCTCAAAGGATTTCGGCAATCCCAGAAGCAGCCTCATGGTATCATCCTCTTAGTGGCCCAGCCCTGGCCAGCCAGCATTCTCGTGCTTAGGTCTCTGCCCACCTCCACTAGGTACCTTCTCTGATCCCCAAGGGTCTCTGGACCCCAGTTCTGTCCCCATGCTCCCCCCAGGGATGATACTGCTTTGTGCAGCTCTACCTGGGGCACACAGGGCGCACAGAGCTTCCTCTTCTGCGATTCCAGTTCTCCATTATCTATCCGTTTCTTTATGCCAAGTTAACTGGTATAATTTCTGCTTTCCTTGGGTTCACCTTGATGGATAGAGTACTTGTACCAAGAGTGATCCCGGGAACAGGCTCCTAAAGAAGGGATTAGGGGTTGTCTTGGCCATGATTTCATGCCTGACTGCAGAACCACTGGGGTATGAAACACAATGGGGCAGGGCTGAACACTAGCGGGGCTCACAACATGTCTTCAGAGCAAAACAAACACATCTCTTTCCAACTCTGGGTTGAGCGTTGGTGACAGTGGGGATGTTTATTCTACAGAAACATGCAACCACTACGAATCATTTAGTCCCCTTCCCCTGGAAAGCCAATTCCTTATATACCACCAGGTACAAAGTGTGCACTGTCATCACTACCAATTACACTGTCACCTGCATGGACAGTAGGTGCCCCTACTGCCTGGCCTAGGAGAGCCCAACAGCTGCTGCTGAGTCCATGGAAAAGCAAACCACAAGCTTCAGTCATTACACTCTCAGCTAAAATCACAATCAGATTCTAGATTCTTAAAACAATCCTTTCTTTGTTGCAGCTGTAGATTTTCAAACATGCTGAATATCAGACCCAAAATTTAATTACACATTTATGTATAAATGGAATCAACCATTTGTCAAAAACTCAAGAAGTGTTTAGGGCTGGGGGCATGGCTTAAGTGGTAGAGCATCTGCCTAGCAAGTGCAAAGCCCTGAGTTCAAACCCAGTATCACCAAAAAGAAGAAGAGGAAGTACATTTGATTGTCTGCTTGTCATGACTCATGTCAGTGGCTCATGGGGGCTCTGAGATGTGGAAGACTGGTGATGAGGTCTGCAGAGAAGGTATGCAGATTCATCTCAGGATGGGACAGTACGGGGACATTGGTGTCCTGTGAGAATGCCCAGTCTGGGACATGCATTGAGTCACTGTAATGATCAAGTGACTGTCACACGCTGTGACAGTCTTTCTTCACAGCTGTGCCATCTCTTGCTCACTGGACTTGTTTATGCCTGTCGATGGTGACAGGCATAGGCTCTGTATGGACTTGAGAATGTAGACTTGTCCTTGCCATGCTCACCTGATTACTGTCACTGCTGAATGCCTAGGGAGTCAGCCAAAGAGACCAACACCCAAAGTGTGCAGCACCTTCCCTGGGGAACAGCAGGAGAGCTGAGGACCAGCTAAAAATCCATGCAGGTATGTAAAAGAATGAAATAGCATTTACAGAGCTTACAGACTTAAAAAATAATGAGTGAAAAGCTCCTGGAACAGGTGTATCAGCAGACCCAGGGATAATTAGTGACCAAAGGAAAGGTCTGAAGACAATCCAGAATGTGGAACACAAAACAAGAGATTAAGATATAATAGCTTAAGAGATACAAAGAGTGGTATGAAAAAGTTGAAGTGTTTTACAGATTCCTTTTCCTTCTTTCCTCTCTCTGTCTTTCTCAATCCACAGTAATAAATGCATTTTACTTGTGACACAATGCATAGATATGTGTATATGTTCATTAATATAACTGAAACAAGTTTCATGAATAATACAGTATGCTCCAATACTTTCTATTCTCTTTCTCAATGCTAGTAACAACATACTAAATTGATTTCCTAAGCCACTCTTGGGAAACAACCTACGGTTTGAAAAACACTAGTCAAATAAAATCCTAATCAGAATTCTGGATGTAAAGAATGAGAGAATGGGGTTGAGGTAATATTTAAAAGAGATACTGTCACACACACTACACCATGGATGAGCCCTGAGGAAACATTCTAAATGAAATAGTCAATCACAGAAAGACAAATGTGTAACTCACTTATATGAGGTACCTACAGTAGTCAAATTCAGAGAGACAGGAAGAATGGCTGTTGCCAGAGGCTTGGAGGAAGGTGAAGTGCGGAGTTATTAAGGGGTACAGAGTTTCATTTTTGCAAGGTGAGAAGAGGTTTTGAGAGGGATGACCGTGAGGGTTGAGTAGCAGCATGAATGTACTTAGGGCAACTGAGCTGCATGCTTAAAATGGTGGATGGAAAATGCTGTTGTGTCTATTTTACCACAATAAAAAAGTAAAAACAGCCGGGCTTCTGTGGCTCACACCTGTAATCCTAGCTACTCAGGAGGCAGAGATCAGGAAGATCATGGTTAAAAGCCAGCCCAGACCAATAATTTGCAAGACCCTATCTTGAAAAACCCATCACAAAAAAAGGATGGGTGGCGTGGCTCACGGTGTAGATCCTGAGTTCAAACCCCAGTACTGAAAAAAAAAAGTAAAGATAAGTTAAGAAAAGATATTGTTATTTTTTCAGAATGACAATAGACATCAATCAACAAACTCAGAAAGCCCAAAGCATTCAGGACAGAATAAGTAAAAAGATACATCATGGTGAAACTGCACAACACCAGAACAGAGGGGAAAAACATCTAGATTTTTCTTTGAAGGCATGCATGATGATGAGTTTATCACCTGACTCCTGCAGAGTAACAGTGGAAGCAGGGGGACGGTAGATGATGTATTCACCATGCTGAAGTAGAATGGCTGCAAGTCAGCCACATTACATCTTAAGAAAAAGGCCAGGCACTGTCAGTGTGTCTGTAATCCCAGCTGCTTGGGAGAAGGAGATTGAGGTTCAAGGCCAGTCAGGGAAAAGTGGTAGGGAAACCCCATCTCAAACAAAAATCTGGGCATGGTGGTACACATCTGTGATCCCAGCCACACAGGAGACATAAGCACGAAGATCACAGTCCAACCAGCAAAAACCACAGGACCCCATCCAAAGAGATACCTAGAGCAAAAAAAGGGCTGGAGGCATGGCTCAAGCACTGGAGTGCCTGCCTAGCAAATGCAAGGTCCTGAGTTCAAATCCAATACTACTAAAAGAAAAAAAAGGAAAGAGATTTAAAAGAAGAAAGAAAAAGAACAAGGGCAAAATAGTCATTAGCAGACAAAAACAGAGGGTTGCTGCAACAAACCCTCCCAAAAACAAAATTAAAAGGCACATACATCATATACCAGGAGAGCGATCCTGATGGTGTCAGTTGACAAGAAAAAGAGAAGATGAGCAAAGAGCTTGGTAACTGTGTGGCACAGTTGATTGCATAAAACAATTTCGTAGTATCTCATGAGGTTGGAATGGAGAAAATTAAACATCCACCACAGTGAAGCAGACAACTAAGGGGGAGTGTGACTGAATCACTGTAAAGTCTTCACAGTTTGAGGGAGCAGGGTAAAGAGATCTTTAGAACTGGATTTCCATAAAATAAGTAAACATGTCGAAAGCTTAAGGTAACCACTGAAACAATAGAAATAGAGTGTATCAGAGAAGAAAAAAGTACTGAGGGAAAAAAAATCAACCCTATAGAAGCAAGAAAAGAAAGGAAAAAGAAAAAACAGGCAGGTCAAGGAGAATTAACAATATAATATAGTAGAAATAAATCCAGATATATCAGTAAATATAATAAGTATAAATGGACTAAATGCTCCAGTTAAAAGACAAAGATTATCCTTTAAACAACTGTTTTATTATGAAAAAATTCAAGTGTACAGACAAGTGGTAAGTATGAGAGACATCTATGTTCCTACCACGTAGAGTTAACCATTGTGAACAATTTGCCATGTTTGTTGCATTTACATATTTCATTTACCCATGACTAGGTTATTAAGAGCACCTATCCGATGTAGTAAATGAAACACTATTTAAACAGCAATGATGTATTTTAGAGGACAAGTCGATGTAGGTTCCCAGCAAGTTTTGATCCTGTCGTTTATTCGTGTGTTTATTGATTCAAAGGCTGTCTCTCCCCTAGGTGCTAAAACAGGGTGTGAGTCAGGTCAACTCTTCTGGTCATTATCTTTCTAAAGATTTGTTGCATAAAAAACGGTATCGGTAAAGGATTCGGCACAGTGCTTGTTGCATGGTAGACATTTCATGTACAGTGGCTTTTATTTATGATAGTTTCTCCTTCGTGAAAGCATTCCGCAGAGCGGCACAAAATAGGCAAACAATAATTGGCGGTTTATTATAATTATTATTTAGGAACCATCACAGTACCCATAAACATCATGTTCAAAAGTACTTTCATTATTATTCAAAGTCTCTAACAGAGCCTGGCACTACAGGAGCGAGGGAAAAGTGGAAGTTTATTCTTCTTAATTATTATTATTAAGTAAAGCGCTTAACAACAGCTAGCCCTGCGGGTCCTGAATAAACAGTCTTGGCGAGGACCACCTCTCCTCCCGAGACTCAGGAAGCCCCGCCCCCCGTAGACGGAAGCCCCGCCCCCAGCGCAGACGCGCATGCGCATTCCTCCGGGAGGGGCTCCCGCGCGCAGCCTCCCTCCTGATGCCGGAGCCGGCGCAGCGCGACGCTTCCCGCCGCCGGAATCAGCCAGCTGCTGCGTGCATACGTGCGACGCTGCGTGCGTGCGTACGTGCGTGCGTGCCGTGAGCTCGCCGGCACCGCGGCCCCGGCCTCGCCCTCCGCCCCTTCGCCTGCACCGCGTAGGCCATCCCCCCCCTTCCCCCCTCCCCCGCTGACGACCCCCGCCCGCGCCGCCCCCCTCTCGGGGTAGAATTTAAAGGGGGCGTAGTCTCTCGCCCCTCTCAGGTGACCTCTCGGGGCTTCCCGGCCAAAGGTGCCCGGCGCCGAGGAACATGGCGAAGGTGGAGCAGGTCCTGAGCCTCGAGCCGCAGCACGAGCTGAAGTTCCGAGGTAAGCCCCGGGGCCCGCCGCCTCTGGCCCGCGGGCCACCGCCCGCGCTCCCACCCGCGCCGAGGGACGGAGCCCGGCGCGCGGGTGACGTCGCGCCGTCCCCGCCCGACGGCGCGGCCGCGGGGGGCGGCAGTAGGGCCGCCGCGTCCAGCGCTGCCCAGAGCTGCTGGACCCCAGAGGGCCGCGTGGGCCATGTGCGGAGCCCAGGGCCTGCTCCTCCTCCGCCGGCCTCCTGGGCTCGTCGCCCTCGAGGCACTTGTCACCGTGGCTACTGTAACTTCTGACGAGTTTGTGGTCTTTTGCCCTAGAGTTTAAGCACAGGCGGCCCCCTTTGCCTGGATGGTCCTTCCTTTCCTCTTCGCAAGGTCTTAGCCCAGATGTCACCTGCCCACCGTGGACATCTGCTGTCATTCCCGATCACATCGCTGTTCGGTCAGTCCAGCACTTCTCACTAGGCGGTCACTGCATTTGTACAGGAGAGAGGAAACTCCATGAGGCCAGGACCTTGTCCTTTTACTGCGATATCCCCAGTATATATAGTAGGTGCTTAATAAAGAGATGTTAAGCCAATACATATTGGAAAGGAACCTCCTCCTGAGGTCTGATGGAACTGTGCAGCCGAGGGAGTCTCCCAGGGTACTGGGATCCTCTCACTTCCCAGAGCTGGAGCAAAAGGAAGCTGCAGCAACTAGCGCGTCTGCGGGAAGCCTGGGTTCCTGTAGTTTCTCGCCTGCATTTAGCACCTTTGCATGTTGTACTCTTACTTCCATATGCGCACATATATATGGACAGATACATGTTTTTGTTTTTCCTTTTCTTCACCAAAACGTGAGGGCCAGGAGGCAACAGGGACCTTGTCCAGCATGCTCATTTCTTTTTGCATGTGTTGAGTAATTGTAGTGGGCACTGGGGGGTGTAGAGCTCACCTTCTAATGAGAGAAGACAAACCAGTGAACAAGCCCGTTGCAGGCAGTGATAAGTGCTGTGAAGGAGGTAAAGCAGACTGACTTGATGAAGGTGTCCTTTAAGTTGAGTGAGATCCCTGTCACCACTAAATCACCTGCATTAGGCCCACAGTCGGTCCTCTCTTGATTTTTGTGGAGTGAATGCTAGCCCAAGGTTATATGTGCTGTCAAGCAGAAGTGTTGGATGACTAGTTCATAGTTACCCCCTTGACACATGGGAAATCTGAACTCAGGCTTCAGCACTTGCATTATCATTACACTGTCAGACTCCTGGTTCATTTTGCCTCCCAGGTTGACAGTGTGAAATGTCCATGAATGTATAAGGAGCCGAAGGCTTAAAACAAAAAACCTAACACTGGTCATAGTTCCACAATAGTAAAAGGGGGGGGGAGGCCCTATGGTTTGACATAATTCATAATTTTTTGACATTCGGTGGTATGAAAGTTTGTACATTCAGTAGAAGTTATTTTGAATTTTGATCTTGATCTTTTCCCACATTGACAGTGTGTGGCGTAACCCTCTCTCTGTGATGCTGCAGCTCCCAATCAGCCACAGTCACAATGGGAAAGAACTGACTTGTGCAGTGTATTAGGTTTTTTGGATGTTGTGTTTTGTGTTTTTGCGTTGTATCATGTGTGCCAAATGTCTGTCTGTGTGTGTGCATGAGACATTCAGCACACTTTACATCTAGGCTTTATGTTTGTGCTACTGTAGGCCAGCATAGGCCTTAAGCCATGATATTCAGAAAGTCAAGTGTATTGTTTTCCACTTAGAATATTTTCTGCTTACAGTGGGTTTATCAGGACATAACTTGAGCTTGCATGATATTCTCAGGGGTTTCTGGTGGAGGAGCCAAACTGGCTAAGGAATTCAAGTAGCTAACGTGAATATGATAAGCATGGTTTTCACTTCAGTTGTCTGAAGTTCTCTGTCCAAGAAGCCTGGCTTAACTTCTCCTGTGAATTGGCACATCTGGTCAGTTGGTCCATAAACATTTACTAAGAACCAAGTTACTTGAGTTGTATTCCTTGAGTTGTTTTCCCTCCACTCCTCCCTAGTCCTTTATGTATAGGGAAGGGGCAGACAGGAAAAGTAGCCAGGAAAATGTGGTGACACAAGGTGATCCTGACTGTAGAAGTTAGCTCCTGAAAGAGTTACCAAGGTCAAATGGGAGCAGGCCAGAAAGAAATGGGTGGGTAGCACTTCAGGCAGAGGAATTGCATGCAAAAATGCCCAAAAGCTGAGATGACTGTTCCTTTGGGATGCCACCAGAGTTCTGGATGATAGCACAAAGAACATTTGTTGGAAGTACAGGGCAAAGTAGGAGACAAGGCTGGCCAGTAGACGGGAGTTAGATCTTCTAAGGCCTTTTTTTGCCCAGATGCACCAGTGTCCAAGTTAAAATTGTGTTGCTTCTCCTCCAACAGTCCTTCCTTGGATTGACTTAGGAGCTCCAAGCTCCAGTACAAATGCTTCTCTAATGTGTTGTTACTGTAGGAGATGCTAACTTAAGAAAAATTCAGGCTTTGTCACAACTCTTTCACTTAAAAATGTGTTGCCTAGGACTGCCGCTTCTCTCCCCAAAGCCTGAGGTCACTCTTGAGTTTATGGGTATGACTCCATGTTGGCCTTGCCTCCTGTAGAAAGTTTTGCTTATGTTTACTGAGGTGATTTTAGCAGCTGAATAGCTGCTTTGTAAATGCAGTATCTAAACAACTGATTTTATCACTTCAGGTTCTTTACTTGAGAGGGATGCGAAGTGATACCTCTGCTCTTGGTTTGGCCAAAGCAGTGATGGCCAAAGTCACTGGATATTTTTGCTAGGGAAGTGGTCCTCAAATTATTGGAGGATATTGCTCTTCACTTAGAAGAGGCATCTGTAGGCATAATGTGTATAAACCATGTTATGAGGTGCTTGGTTGGTTGGGTGGTTGGTTAATTTTAAGATGAATCCTATAATTATGAAATTAAGCTGGGCGCTGGTGACTCATGCCTGTAATCCTAGCGTCTTGGGATGCTGAGATCAGGAATATAGTGGTTCCAGGCCAGCCCAGGCAGATAGTTCTGGAGACCCGCATCTCCCAAATAACCAGAACAAAAAAATGGACTGAGGTGTGGCTCAGCACCTGCTTTCCACGCATGAAGTCCTGAGTTCAAACCTCAGTCCCAGCAAAAAAAAAAAAAAAAAAAAGATGATAAAATCAGAAAAGAGTTTCAATACCCTGGCTTGCTCACAGAGATGGTTCATTCCAGGATGAGAACTGGCACCTCTGACTGGTCTCTTTCAGGTTACTCAGGGTTGTGACTCTGATTTCTGGTGGTTCACCTGGATTAATCAAATGTTTAAGCTAACTTTGCTTAAGAAGATAATAATTAGGCTGGGTGGCTAATGCCTGTAATCCTAGCTACTCGGGAGGATTGCGGTTTGAGGCCAACCCAGGCAAATAGTTCGTGAGACCCTATCTTGAAAACACTCAACACAAAAGAGGCTGGTGGACTGGCTCATGTTTTAGCGTACTTGCCTAGCAAGCGGTGAGGCTCTAAGTTCAAACCTTAGTACCACCAAAAAAGAAAAAACAAAGAAGGTAATAATTAATAGAATGATCATTCAGCAGAAAAAACTGACCCTCTTGTTAAGTGCAGCCTGAGATGACAATATGGGATTGTATACCATCATATTCTTTGTAATTTGGGGAATTTTGTGTGGTACGTTAAAATTTAATGATGCTACAGAAGAAAAAGTACAAATGTATATGACCTTGTTTGAGTTTATGGAAAGCACTGTGTTGCGTTGTATTAAACATTCAAAGGAGGATACATGGTTTGCCTAGAGTTAGTGTATCTTCATGACGTCTTCTTAGGAAGTGAAGGGAAGTAGAAGCCCCTTCAGACTTGGGAACCTTTCTGAGAGTGAAGGGTTTTGGAAATCTTTTGGGGATGGTGGAGACACAGAGCAATAGATTCATTGTTGTCCTTTCGGCTGTTACCAGTTCTTCCCAGGCCTAATCTTTTTCTTGTTATGTCCTCCCTCTGAGATCTACTGTGGTTCAGCTTGGAGAGAGCTTTCTGAACAAGTCACTCAAGGCATTTTATATCTCTCCTTTTGTCATATCCCATCTGTAGTAAGTAGTATGTCTTTTATGTTTTTAGTCATTGTCCAAGACTTCATTGTATCCTGGGACACCCTCCTGGCTGTGGTACCTGGGCCTGATTGCTAATTGCCCTTACCAGGTTGAGGGTTAAACCCACTGTGGACACATTTACCTTGCTTTGTTCTGAGCTTACACCAGTTGCTGTTAGGAAGTCTTCATTTTGCTGTTGGTCAGTAGGAATAGTGATAGTAGGTTGGTGTCATTGGTTACCACTGTGGGGGAAAAATAGGCACTTGGGCACTGTAAATGGTAGTGTAGAGACAGTGTCTTTTGTATGAGCAAAGAGGCTTAGAATCATTAGTTCAGCCCCTCAAGTTGATGTGTAATTTAAGATTGTTTAGAAAGTTAAAAAGAAAAATCTGAAACCCTGTGGATATAGTCTATTCACTGCCATAATTGTCTTTCAGATGCTAAGTACAACATTAATTCTTTAACTTTAGTATAGTACTGATTTCCTTAACATTTCATGATCACATAGAGCAGACTGTGTTTTACAGCCCAACAAAATGTCAGCAGTGTGCTTAAGGTTCTTTATGGTAGTGGTTTCAATCCATTCTGAATAGATTATCTCCATATATTTAATTATTAACTAGCTTGCTTGTCAAAAGCAAGTGGCATTAAATTTACTAAGCTAGAGTCAAACTTAAATCTTCATAGACAGCACTCTTATGAAAACCTTTTTTTTTTTTTTTTTTGTGGTACTGGGGTTCAGACCCCAGTACCGGGGCCTTGATCTATCACTAGAGCCATGCCTCAGACCCTTAGGAAATGTTGAGCCATTTGTCTGCTTACTCACTTTCTTTTCTTCACAGTAACTTCTTAGGGGAAAGTGGAGTTCTTGGGCATGGACTTGCATGTGGAAGTAGTGGCGTTTTCTTGATGT